TAACAGGTAAAAAGAGTCACACTCCATCCAATTATTTCAGGAAATCCATTAACAGTGTCACCTTTCGGTCTGAGATCAAAGGGGGTCTGAGATCAAAGGGCAATATTTCGTGTGAAAAGCGTGCTCTCCTGATAGTATAAATTCTATAATAAGGATGAGACTGAATCCACTATTAAGTGATGTGTTTAAATTTAGCCGTTCTCGTAAAACCCATATTTCCATAGGTCGGAATTGTGTATGCAAAGACAAGCTTGTTACACAAAGTGTGATGGAATCAGAGCATACCAGAAGATGTTCGACGGTCAGCTCCACGTGTTGGAGGCGGACGTGAGTTCCTATTATTAGACATGATTAGTGTTATTTGGTATGTGATTTATCCATTGTTATATAGTGATGGAATTCTGTTTCCTTGGATAGCCCTATTTACCACCCAGGTAAGAAATACATTTATAAAATATAACGGTGACGAAACTTACAGGTTATCATTAATTGCGAGATCTTTTGTTTATAATTGTGCTTTCAAAACAGATTAGAGCATCTGATATCAATAGAGATATCGGATAATCATATGAAGGTTTAGCGGGATATCGGTAATAACGATATTGCATGCGACTGAATTTAAGACACACGCATTTATACTTCAGTGGTACGCACGATAATATATAAACAAATTAAACCCACAAAAAAGACAAATATATAAATAATTGCAGCCCGACTATGGTACGAAGTATAAAACACGTAGTATTCACCAAGAAATGAAATACGTATATCTAACTACAGCACATATAAATCCATGCATAAAGACCTACACTTAACAAAGACCGATCTGCTTAAAACACACGGAAACAAGAAATCGCACGGTAAATTTGATTTAACACCTACGCGTCAGATAAAGCCTGTTGGTCCTTGATAAAACACCTTTGGTGCAGTTATAACACGCTTTCGAGAAAACTCATCAAACAAAGAATACACACCGTGTCAGTCGTTTTTAACCCGTTCGTTAATTAACACACCGGTACAGAAAACACACCGTCGCTGAGATTTTCACCCCAAGCGATAATTATATCACCACTCAGTCAATTTCTCACCCCTGTTAATTAACACACTGTACCTACAGATTTTAGCCTCTTCGTATTAGATTTGTTGCGATAATTAGAATTTTACCGATATTCATAGAAATTTACCAAAATTAATCATTTAACCAGCGGCTGCCAGGCAGGATACGCCCACATTTTCGAGAGATGGATAGAAACCAAGCTAAAACGAAAGTGATTTTTGCTACAATCAAAGGCCATAATTCAGGAAATTACAATTCGATATGCGCAAATATTGAAAGGAACCAAGATCTTTGGGTTATAAACTTACATTTCAAGTTTCATCAAAATAGGATTAAAATTGTGACCTCTATAGGGTCCACAACCTTGATATACCATATTTTTATGCTATTTGAGAACGAAGGGCGGCCATTTTATCTGTCAGTTTTGGGCCGATTTTCACGAAATTCCTAACTCAGTCGTCCTTAGGGTGTAACGGTGATATAGTAATACGTTTTTTTAAATCGGATAAAAATTATGACCTCTATAGGGTACACAAGCTAAAAATGTGATTTTTCGTACAATCAGGAGCCATAATTCAGGCAGTTACGGTCCGATATGTGCGAATATCGAAAGGAACCGAGATCTTTGGGTTATAAACTTACATTTCAAGTTTCAACAAAATCGGATAAAAATTGTGACCTCTAAAAGGATCCACAAGCTAAAAACGTGATTTTTCGTACAATCAGGGGCCATAATCCATGAAGTTTCGATCCGATACATGCCAATATCGAAAGCAGCCGAGATCTTTTGGGGATAAACCTATATTTCAACACTGAGAAGTAGTGAAGGTGAGATTTGTACGTTTAGGGCATAGATATCTCCCGATTTGTTAAATTTCTATGAATATCGGTAAAATTCTAATTATCGCAACAAATCTAATACGAAGAGGCTAAAATCTGTAGGTACGGTGTGTTAATTAACAGGGGTAAGAAATTGACTGAGTGGTGATATAAGGGCGACAACTCAAGCCCAGGATCGATTTATCCGTACCTTGGCCTTGAGAAATCGTGTCATCACAGCAAATCAGATCAGCGCTCGTCTTCAAACAGACACTGGTGTGAGAGTGAGTGGCCAGACGATTCGGAATCGACTGCATAGGGGTCACCTTCGCGCCCGACGTCCACGCGTGATCCCTTGTTTGAGAGATCATCACATTCAGGCAAGACGTCGTTGGTGTAGGGATCGTCAACACTGGGATAATCGACGCTGGAGCAATGTGATGTTTTCAGATGAGTCAAGGTTCACTGTTGATTTTTTGGACAGACGTAGGAGGGTGTGGCGTCGTCGAAACGAGCGCTTCCAAGACGTTAACGTCATCAGACATGATCGATTTGGGGGTGGTTCTGTTATGGTGTGGGGAGGCATCACTGTTGCTGGAAGAACGGCTTTACATGTTGTTGCAGGGCGTGTTACAGGCCAGTACTACCGGGACAACATCTTGGCAGTCCATGTTGTGCCGTTCGAACGACGTCGTGGTCGCCGTTTCATCTTCCAGGATGACAACGCAAGATGTCACAGGGCCAGGATCGTTACAGGTTACCTCCAACAACAGAACATCACCACATTACCTTGGCCAGCACTGAGTCCCGACCTCTCCCCCATCGAGCATGTCTGGGACATGCTTGGACAGAGGTTACGTCAACGTCAACAACGTCCTGCCAATGTCCAAGAACTTGCTGCTGCGTTGCAACAGGAATGGGACAATCTGGACCAAAATGACCTTAGACGTCTCATTAGGAGTATGCCACGTCGGATCAATGCTTGTTTGGCAAACAGAGGAGGATTTACCCGTTACTGACTTGGTTGTGATGCTGTGGTAACTTTGCTGTTTGACCCCGGGTATCATTTTACCCTTATAATGGTCAGTCTGTGCCTTACTTAGTCTAACGATCATTTGGAATAAATCGATGAATGTGAACTTCATTTCATTTTGTCATTTGTTTCTTCGTCAGTTTCATTAGGTGACTTTAATAACACTTAAAAATCAAATATCCCCTACTTTTTTTGAATAGTATATATGTGGAAATTAAATTTTTCTTGGATAGTCCTTTTTACAACCCAGGTAAGAAACAATACATTTATGCATTAAAACGCCCACGTGTAGTAAATATAGACATGACGAAACCAATAGTTTTTCATCAATTGCTCGATTTTATATTTATAAACTTGGTTTTCGAAACAGATTCGTTAGTCTGATATTAATGGAGGTTGGTCCGGATATCGGTAAATAACGTGCATTTATACTTCAGTGGTACACACGATAATATATTAAAAAACTAATTAAACCCACAAAAAAGACAAATATATAAATAATTGCAGCCCGACTATGGTACGAAGTATCAAACACGTAGTATTCACCAAGAAATGAAATACGTATAAGAACGAACAAATCCATGCATAAAGACCTACACTTAACAAAGACCGAACTGCTTAAAACACACGGAAACAAGAAATCGCACGGTAAATTTGATTTAACACCTACGCGTCAGATAAAGCCTGTTGGTAATTGATAAAACACCTTTGGTGCAGTTATAACACGCTTTCGAGAAAACTCATCAAACAAAGAATACACACCGTGTCAGTCGTTTTTAACCCGTTCGTTAATTAACACACCGGTACAGAAAACACACCGTCGCCGAGATTTTCACCCCAAGCGATAATTATATCACCACTCAGTCAATTTCTCACCCCTGTTAATTAACACACTGTACCTACAGATTTTAGCCTCTTCGTATTAGATTTGTTGCGATAATTAGAATTTTACCGATATTCATAGAAATTTACCAAATCGGGAGATATCTATGCCCTAAACGTACAAATCCCACTCTTACTACTTCTCAGTGCAAGTTTCGTCAAAATCGGATAAGAATTGTGACCTGTAGAGAGTCCACAAACAATTGTGGACGGACAGACAGACGTCCGGACGGACAGGGGCGACGGCATAATACGTCCACATGAAAATGTGGGCGTATAAAAAGTTTAAAACAATTTGCAAAAATAAAGGCTATGAATAATTTATAAGAAAATTTACAAAATCAAATAATTAGATCGGAAAAATATTTCATATATAAATATAATTTGTAGCATGAATATAGACAGGATATGTGAGAAAGGAATTCCAGGGGGCGTTACTTGTCCTCCGCACGCGGTACATGTAAATACGGTACCATGCACAGATGTTATTCGTGTTTTGATAATCAATCTATTACGGATATTTAAAATCTGAATTCTACACCTCAAAGGCGAAGTATTCGATTTAGTACGCAAGTTTGGTACCATGATACTTGGCGGAATTCGCGTGGATACGGATGATAGAATTGTACGAATCTTTGTGTCGCAGATTTACCCACTATCAAGAACTTTTAGGCATTCTGATGTCGAAAAAATAATATTACGATATTTATATGGAGCAATTACGTCAAGACCTAAACAATTTAAGAGTGTGTGTGTGTGTACCTACATGTATGGATATGTGTCGTGTGATTGGTCTTTGATAATTGAGAGTGACATGTTATTTACTGAAGCAACAGGTATGAAGAGAAGCTACCTGTCGCTTGCGAATGTTTTTATAGCATGTTCAAAATCTCAACAGTAATTCCTTTTTTAGGAAGTACAGACCTTCTATGGACCAGGAACTGATTGTGACATTATCACAGCAATCTTGGTATTGTGACATTATAACAAAAATCAAAATCTGTCAATCGATGCACAATTGTCAAAGGAACAAACATGCCAAGTTTCATATTGATAGTACATAATTGGCAGAGCCTTGGGTGTTTTCGACTCCCAAGAACACAAGATGAGTAGCGCTTGGAGCCCAGTTCCTGGTCCAAAAACTAAAATCTGCACATCATTTTTCGAATAAGAAATGATACATCAGTGATTATAATAATATAAGTTTACCTCTTTAGATAGAGAGCTCTGTCATATACTTTCAGAATGAAATCATCTGCTCTCAATTCTCTTCCTCGACTAGGTGATTCATTACATAATACTTGACTTATAACATGTTCCACTAATATATCAGCTAAAATATAGCAATAATAATATTAACATAAATATATATCATTAATATTCTCAAATCTCAAGGATCCATATGACATCAGACATTTGAAAGGAGCAAAATTCTGCCATGAAATCATGCAAAATGAAAGTTGTAAATAATAAGTTTGTAAAGACGGATTGAGTTACTTTTATATCTGTAAACATTTATAGTGGTTTTCAATGAGTTCACCAAACACTTGCACAAAACGTTTGTCTCCAAGTAAATCTGATACTTATCGCAGTGTTTCGTTTAATTAGACCTAATCCCACTCAATCACTGCTATACTCAGCGTAAATTTCTGTCCCAATTTATGACTGGTCAATAGTCCAATTAACAACCAATACTGAACTGCGTAACAATATCAATTGGTTTTAAACAGAGTTCCAAATTTTGTATAATAATAATAATCGTTTTCTTTAGCGCTGAACATTCAGTCAGTCTGACGGCTCTGTTGTGCTTTACAATGTAGATATGATTATAAAAAATAGAAGAGCATTTTCAGTAATTTAACAATTTATACATAATGTTACGACTTACATTACAAAATTTATTACTATTATGCCCAATTAACCAGTGCATAGCAGAATATTGCAAGTATAATTATCAAATTCTACTTGTTCGGCTCGATCGGCAAAAATCACCAACAGTTGACTTTATAAAAATTAAAATATTTTTCCCAATCGTGAAAATGTATTCCGAGTCTATAATACATTGATGAAAATCCATTTTGATGATGTTTTAACTGTACTAAATGTTTTAATTTGTCATTTATTGCTGAATGTAAAGTTACGACATTTTGGAAATAAAAGGCGAATAGAGACACAGAAAATAAGTAACAATGTTTTGTCTGTGCAAATGAAAACTTGTTTAAAACCCTGATGTCATTTAACAAGACTAATGATCAAACAGCAGGGGCTAATAATGTGAAATGAAATGAAATGGGGTTTAACGTCCTAATGTGGGCTAAGTGGGGCTAATGAAGACGGGCATATGCCATTGCAGTGTGCTATGAGGGACATTTTGCGCTATGGCCTTCTTCTATATCGAATTGCATCCGCCAAGGGATCTTTTACGTGAACGCCACGTTTTTCGTCCCAGCCAAACGACTAGATAGCTGTCAGCCAGGCCCCCCATCTTGCACCACTGACAAGGAGAACCCACATCGGAAAATCCTGATAAACTTTCTTGGCCAGTACTGGGGTCCAATTCGAGACCTGCAGGCTAGCAAGCCTGCATCTTACTCATTTAGCCGCCGTGGCTCCTAATAATCATGTTGATATGTAGTAATGTCCATTTATCTTTTACAGGTGGTTGTCTTCAAAACATTTTCAAACAGAAGAACACCTCCCAAAAAAGACCCCAAATGAAACAGGACTAAAGATAGGTTGCCAGGCAATGAAACATACCCCCACAGCAACTAAATCGTCTGAGTGGTCGACAAGAGTTGACGCATATTATTCTTTTGTAGGTAACTGGGGGCATTTACAGATCAGATTATAATTTTTGTCATTTGAGGGTTCACAAGGTTCTACAAACTGAAACAAGGGCCTTAACTCTGGAAGTAATTTACAGAAAATTTTGAAATTTGACAGGCTTTTTCGTTTTACTAATTCAAACAATGCATATAAATTTCATACAGATTGGATGATAACTTTTGTCATTTGAACGTTCACAAGGTTCAAAAAGTAAAACAAGGGCCATAACTCTAGAAATCATTGACGGAAATTGCTGAAATTCAATAGACCTTGGCGGGCTTCCACTTCAAAATTTTCCTAACCGGTCATTTTTCTCACGTAGAAAGTGGTGCTATTTTTAGCACATAATAAGAAGTAAAAAACTACATGCTATTGGAATGTCGATCGGCTTTAATTGGGTCAAGGACAGTCACACAAAAATCCAATCTCACATCGACATTTATACCCACCCACCTTATAAATAAAAGAATCAATTATCATCATTTATTTATTTATACATTCATAAAATATAACAATAACAAGATAATTCATTCATCGCAAGTACACTATTTTCCTAATTTGTTTACAATATCGCCCGTATATATTCATCAATTTCGTAACCAACTTTATCTTGAATACTCCGCTTAAAATTTGTTATAGACGGAACAAAAATCTCAAAGATTTATTAATACGATCCGACATTTCTATCTTGATACCCCAACCTAGAGGCTGTTATAAATGCAGCAATAACTGTTCCGTTTGCTGACACCTCACTGCTACTTCATTTATTCAATCTCATGTAAATCAAAAGAAATATTATATTAAAAGCCACCTCACATGCGACACCCCTTTTATAATTCATGCCATTTCCTGCAATTTTTGTGGGATTCAATATATTGGCCAAACTTCCGATACCTGCAAACATAGATTTTACAACCATCTATGTGATATATGAAATTTCAAAGACACGCCGGTAAGCATTCATTTCAACATGGATAAACATACTTTAAGCATTAAAATTCTTGCAAAAACTTCGCGTAATTTAAACAAACGATTACGTCATGAGGAAAGTTTCATAACGTTGCTAGTGACAACGTGTCCTGGGGGACTCAACGAACAAGCTTAATCATTTTTTCAAATAATTCCTTGCTGAAATTCAAAATGGACGCCATGGTTAAGTGCACAATCTGTCAAACCAGCTACACTAGAAGACATAACCTGTACAAGCATAGATTAAAATTCCATAAACTTGACAGCATAGAAGAATAAGAAGAATACAAACAACTGAAAAAAACTAAGTAAGAAAAAAGAAGATAAGAAACCTAAAAAGAAAATTCTACAGAAGAAAAACATTGCTGATTTTGAGATGCCGCCAAGCTGTATACCAACTGCACCAACTACATTTGAGGCCCGCAGAAGAAATCCCTCCATTAGAGAAATTGATGTACCTGAGAAATCAAAAACTTTAAAAGACCAGTTTGATCTCTTACAATACGATCTAGAAGTTATACCAAGTATTGATGAATACAGATTGAATACAACCCAAGACCAGTTCGATGATGCTTGGAAGCAACTAATGGAAGAATATAACAATATTTAAACCAATATTTTTATAAAATCCTAGTACAAGGATTTTTATAACATCAACTTTTTCTAATTTTAAATCCCAGTATAGGTTTTTTTTCGTTTAATCTATTTTTAGAAAACATTCACTTTTTTAATCCCAGTCCAGGGATTATTTTTAATTAGAGTAAGGCGCATGCGCCAAGATTAGTATAAATAGCTTGGATTTTTTTTGTTATATCATTTTCAACTCTGGCTGATGAAGGGCTGTTAGCCCGAAACATGTACTGGACTTGGAATATAATTTTTAAAAACCATCTACACAGTGTTGTGAAGTCTGTTGCTGGGGATTCTCTTTTTTGATATTTTTCACGGATTGGTTCCTGAGATGCATCACTGAGATCCAGACTTGCCTGCACTGTTCTAGGGAATCTTCCGCCCTCCTTTATTATCGAGTGTGGGGGTTTTATCATCCTCTACTTGGATTTTCTAGTGTTTAGTTTGTCGACACGTGTTTAATTATAAGCGTCCCGCTTAATTATCACGACTGTTCAATAATTAGTTGGACCGTTCAATTTCCCCGAGCCGTGATTAAAATTAGTCAAAGTGTCCAATTACACAAGGTGTTCAATTTTGTTGTCAAACATCCAATTTCATGTGCGATGTTCATATATTACGATGCGTTTAGTTCTGAGCCATCGTTCAGTTTTGCACCCAAATGCCTATCTTACCGCACAATGTTAGATTCGCTGAACAGTGTTTAAATACTGTATTTAGTGTTAGTTTTCGTACTGACCTGTTGCGATACGGTTAACTAGTTTTCAGCTTTCATACTACGGTAGGTATCTGTATGCCTGTCATTGTCAGGGGATTATTTTTCAAGATCACTATGGCAAAACAAATGCTGGATGTTTAATGGCGACGGGACGGTCCCGAAGCAAAGCTTTCTCGAGATGCACATAACGTCGTCCACAATCATAAAACGTGTATCTATATATCCATTTAAAACAGTATTTCCCACACTGACATAACACATCCACGAATGATAAACTCACACATCTGATTTACATGTGTACATGTCGACTCCCTGCCCTGATTAAATCCTTTTGTTTAAAGACTATGTCTTCGCAATTAAGACTGGCAGCACGGGTATTGCACCCATCATATCTATAGAAAGCATTTTGGGTTGAAGGGTAGTGCGATTATCTGGGGCAATAAACACAGAACGCTTGTAGAATTAATACACATGTGTCAGAAGCTAACAATATGTCTATTGTGTAAGACAAAACGTGAAAATAAACTAATAATTCGATCTCTTTATTTCTTTTTAATATTATAGCACGGCCCATTTTTTGCTGAAAACCAAATAAAACCTACCAAATAAACTTTATTTCAGAGAAAACCAATTCAAAAAGGAATTGAATCATATATTAAGTTTAATTTTTATAAAGCATGGGGATATCATAAGTAAGTTAATTTGATGTTTTTGTGGCATGTACTATATTAGATGAGATCGAAAGAGTGTTTTAGATTAGAGGTTACAGAACCACAAGTAAGGTGGAATGTATAAGTCGAACGGAACTGTTCTTCAGACTGAAAGGTGATGCCAGTCATTAAATTTTACAGAGTTCGTGCTGTCAAGACTTTCTAGGCAGAAATAGCTACGACTGAAAGGCGACGCTAATCATTAAATTTTACTGAGTGATACTGATAATACTTGTTCCATTTTGTTAATCAAAATTAACACTAACATTGTATTAAAAGGTGACAGTATGTTATTAGAAAATGTACATCATATATTCATGATGAGTTAGTTGTGAAGCGGACGTCAAATACAACTAACTCACACACAGAAGGGTGCAGGTTTTTTCGTACTTGGTTCATTCGTACCTCACATGAGCAGTTTTCGTACTTCACTTCGTATCTCAAATTGATTCATACCTTTTCCTATATTGTTGAAATCAG